ATACTAACCGGTACATCTTCCATAGTAAAACCAGATTGGGCGTTGGTCTAAGAAGACTCGAGCTCACAAATTCAAAAAGAGGAAGAATTGATTGTATTAATCTGTACAGAAACTTTCCAGTATATAAAATGTGTCAGGTTTTTAATTTGTATGCTTTTGATATTGACATTGATATAATATTTATTAAGGTATCAAGGATATTATAAGGATATTAGCCACTTCAAGTTAGACAAAATACGTTAACGCTAACGTAAGATTTGACAGCTGCGCATGCGCAGTTTCTTTTCACCAAAAATAGCGTTTTACGTGTCACGTTATTTAACGGGTCTTTGCGTGTACCTTATCCGTAAACGTTCGTTAAACCGAGTTGGCCTGAAAGCCAGATTGCCGGTGTCGACTTTTGCCAAATGTATTTTCACCTTAAAAAAAAGTTGTCATGTAATCCAAAATAATCAAAATACGAAGAATTATTTCTAATTTGTCCTTTTCACAACAAAATTTAGAGATTAGGTCATGATTGTGAGATATAACGTTAACGTTTACGTGAAAATTTAACTTAAACTGATCACTCAACGCTATAGTAAAAAATAGGGTTTACGTTTAAAGATTACGTTAACGTGTTTGATCAAACTTAAAGTGTTTATTAACGCTTGAGGTCAATGGTGTATTTATACATTGACCAAAAGCGTTAATATCCGTAATACCCGTGGTGCCTTCAACGTTCAATGTCCGACTTAATTATTTTTTATGTGACAAAATTTTGAATGAATTAATCTAAAACAAATCAAGTACCTGCAAAAAATAGTCATACCGCCCTAGGGAATTATTTCCTATTTGAAAAAATAGTTATAACGCTCTAGGGCGTTATTTTTCAAAATAACTCCCTAGGGAATTATTTCGTATTTAACTGACTTTGACATAATGTCATTATTTGTCGAATAATATACCAGTCGGAAATTATTAATATCGAGATTAATATTAAAACCTTTCAGAGGATTATTAATGGAAAGCTAAAAATAGGAGTATTTTTTTTATTATATTTTAGATCTTTTGAATAGAATTAGAGTTTACTTGTGATAGATGTAAGTTTTTATCTGTAATTGGCCTCTTGGCTGACTAACTGAGATATTTCTATGTATTAACAGACATTTCTATGTACCTAATAACAAGTTATTGCCAACTATTTCCATGTATTAATAAAATATTTCCGCATATTGCCCAGGTATTTCCCTAGTATTATCACATATTACCAGGTATTGCCATGCTATTGACAGACTAAAATCAAATATTTGTCTTGCCAGAATTCTAGGTATTGACTTATCCACAGGTATTTACATGTTATTAATGGGTATTAACCAATAACAATAACATATTGGGAGGGGCACGAAAAACTTTCCACCCAGGTTTTCTCAGGTGTTTAATCAAAAATCGCTCAGACACGTCAATTTTTGTTTTTTGGGGAACACATTTTGTTGGTATTTTCACCCCCTACCTGTGAACCCCTAAGTGGGGGTAACAGGTACCCCCAAAATTTCAAATGGAAAGAGGGGTCGTGTGATATGTTATTTGGTAGCTTTTTTCATTAAGATTATATCCCCGTAGTTTTAAGTTGCCACTATTAAGCCTACCGAAATGGCGGCATGTCAAATTTAGGCTGAATGCTTTTTTTTCAATAATCTAAGCTGTATGGTTTTTACCTGTCATACCTATGCGTAGGTAACAGGTAAAAACCACACAGCATTTTTCCATTGATTTTTCCTAATTTTGACAAGCTGCCATTTCGACAGGGTAAATAGTAGCAACTTGAAACTTCGGGGATATAATCTTAATGAAAATAGCTATCAAATGACGTATCACTCGACTTTCCTTTTCATTTGAAATTTTGTGGGCAGGGCCGGCCCTACCATAAGGCGAATGGAGCGAGCGCTCCAGGCGCCAGACCCCGAGGGGCGCCTCCGACTTTTTCCTTGGTGAAAAAAAAAAAAGAAAAGAGAAAAATATGTTTCTGAAATCTGCTTATCCGAACGATATTTTTGCATTACAGCCTATGGCCTAATTTTTGATTTTTTGTCTGGAAATCTGGGAAACTTTGGGAGATGTAGAATTTTTTTATATATCTAGGAGCCTTTTAGCTTTGACATACCAAAATTTGATTGGATGAAAACCAAAGATAGCTAAGTTACGATTTTTTTAATCCGAAGCTCCATTGAGTGATATTTTTGCGTTACAGCCTATGGCCTGATTTATGATATTTTTTGGCTTATTGAGGAAGCTTTCGGCTTCAACATATTAAAATTTTATTGAAAAATAGTTCAGGATAACCGAGCTATGATTTTTACAATTAAATAGGCACACTTAGTGATATCTTTGCCATGGCCTGATAGCCTCATTCCTAATTTTTTTTCTAAAAATTCTAAAAACTTGTATTAACCAAATATTTTTATATTTATTAAGGAAGCTTTTAGCTTCAACATACTAAAATTTTATAGAGAAATAGCCCAGAATAATGGAGCTATAATTTTTACAATCAGACACACATTTAGTGATATCTTTGCCATAGCATGATTGCCTCATTCTTGATTTTTTTTTTCTAAAAATTCTGGAAACCTAGATTAACCAATTTTTTTTTTATTTACTAAGGAAGCTTTTAGCTTCAACATATTGAAATTTTATGGAGAAATAGTCCAGGATAACGGAGCTATGATTTTTACAATCAGATAGACACACTGCTCTGAATCCTGTCTTCGCTTTTCGATATTCTGCTATTCTGCTTGCGAGCAAAAGGGTGGTAAGTCTGTGATAAGACAGCAGCTGAAACCCAGCCAGTAGGTAGGAAGAGCCCAGCTGGCGTCTCCCAATACCAATTCCTGTGGGGCCTATACTGAATCTATCCTATTAAAGGGGGTTTAACCTTAAAATACAACTTGTATTCAGAAAATAAAGAAGAAAATTCTAAGAACTCTTGTAAAAATCTCGCATCGCTACTTAAAATAATAAGGTAGATACGACTAAATAAAATTATGACTATTCATCGCGTGACGTCATTAATACACACAAAAATTGCAAAACCTATTTAAACTGACGCAGCAATAGATGTGAGAACGCAAAAACGATACGATAATGTCGATAATAGCTCTTTCCCAACCGACATGAGAAACGTTCTAGAACGGTAATTTCCAGTTGATCAATTCATTTGTCAAGTAGAATAAATGTTCAATTTATTGAAAAATAGGTGGACAACTGGAAATTACTGGTTCTGGAACGGTTCTCCTGTCGGTTAGAACTGAGCTAACATATGCAGCAAGAGTCAGCATACGTGCGCCAGCGCCGGCTGTCGGACTCAGTTTGTGCATACGATGTCACAGTGCTAGGAGTAGGAATTTTATATCACAGTATCTTCGCAACGGTTGGTTGTAACCTAGTGCGGTTTGAAAATTTGTTCTTAGATTCTTTTTTTCTAAAACTTATTTTTGGGTCACACCCCATTTAAGATTACCGATACCAATAATTTAATTTGTTTTTAATTTGAATAATACTTGAAAGAAAAAATACCTAAATTATTTTTTGAAGTATTTCTACGTGAATGTCATTTCAAGTACCTACGCAAGTTAATACTAACTTGACTCTGACTTCCGTGGAATTTGGTACTTATACTTGAATTTGGGAAATTCAAGTCAATTTACTTGACATTTTAAGTTTAGAACAGATCTGATCGGTGGATAGAGTATACGATTTACATTTACTTAATTAGGGGCGCCAAAGTCAGATCTCGCTCCATCCTAAAAGTAACCTCGGGCCGGCACTGTAATTGTGGGTACCTGTCACCCCCCACTTAGGGGTTCACAGGTAGGGGGTGAAAATACTAATAAAATGTGTCCCCCAAAAAACAAAAATTGACGTGTCTGAGTGATTTTTGATTAAACACCTAACACCTGAGAAAATCTGGGTGGAAAGTTTTTCGTGCCCCACTCGGTATATTGCCTAGATATCTACAAGTATTGACATATATTACCTACATAATAAACAAGTAGGTATTGCATAGTATTGACACTATTGACATAGTATTTACCTGGTATTAACATAAATTAACCAGTGATTTGTGCACCAATTAACAAGGTGAAAAACCCCTCGGATAGGAAGCTGAAATTTTCAGTGAATCTTATCCGAGTTGAGATCTCCAATCCCTGTAGATTTCAGTTCATTTGGACTTATACTGTCAATTTGAAAACTTTCAATGTCTGAAAGTAAAAACGTTAGAAATACATAATTTGGTACAAATGTTATAGAACCACCATATTTTGGTTATATTGATCCCTAACTGCAATACAGTACAACCTCGATAATCCGAACTAATTATTGCAAAGGTCAGTTCGGGTTACCGATTTGTTCGGATTATAAAAATATGTGGTAAATTTAACTTAAATATGTTCTGCTCATTTTAAACAAGTCTGAAAACATTTTACTGCTTCTTTGTGAGTCACGTTGGCCGGTACGATTTCTTCAGATTCTTCTGATCCGGCTTTGAGAACATTATTAGGTATTAAATTTGACGTAGCACGCGTAGTGTCATGCAGTTTTCAGCAATTGTTGGGATTATCGAGATTTGTTTGGATTATTGAGATTGTACTGTATTTTAAATGGCACCACCCCTCTTGTGATACCTAAAATTAAATATTTTTTTGAAAAAAAAATTTGTGCTGGTGAATACTATAGTAAAAAATATTTAACTTTAGGTATCACAAATTTGAGGTTGGGCTACATGAAGGCCCAAGGGGTCACTTACCCCATAACCAAAATATGGAGGTTTTAGTTCCTCCTACCTGTATAACATTTGTACCAAATCATGTTTTTCTTACTTTTTTACATTAAGTTTCAAAATTGACACCTTGTATGTAGTTCCAAAATAGAACATTTTCAATTATGGCATCAAGAGCCGGTAAAAATCACTGTGCCTTGCTTTCAATTATTATACTGTAAAAAATTATTTGATAAATTCCTACCCAAACATTTGACTAATCCACCTAGAAGTATCAGTGGTAAACCTCAAACTCAATTTCTGCAAAACTCCTCTTTCCAAGCTACCACAGTAAGCGGCCAAGCTATGAGACACCATAACCATTTTAGTTATAGAGTCTAAAGGCAAAGAGTTTATGGGTTCTCCATCCTCGTCCGTACTAATAAGCTCATGGACGATATTTATAATTTCGTCAGTGTGTTTCTTTTCCAGGCCCAAAAACACAGTGGCAGGTTTTCTTGGAACTATTTCCGTAAGGCTGGGGTTTGATTCTATTGCCTGACCTAGCCTGGAAACTATGTCCGAAGCCTCTATAGCTAGTTCACCTAGTTGAGGCTACAATAACAATTTATAAGAAAAAGAAAATTCAACTAAAAAGTTTACCATTGTCTCTTGCCCTTCTACGTGTTCCGGTGACCCATTGGTTTGGGATATATCCACTGCGGGCGTAGACGAAGACATTTTCTTTTAAAAATTAACTACAATTTAGCCATCGTGGCAAAATTATATTGTGACGATTTTTTAGTAGAGGATCACTACAAACCAAAACAGAGAATTTTTATTTACTTTTTGTGTGTGGCAGAAATTATTTTGACAGGGCCCTTTTTCCACGTCAGCGAGATGTGGCAACATTGCAATAATATACTGATCCGATTAGTTTCTGTTTCGTTTTAATGGAGTGAAATAAAAAGAGATAAAAAATTGTCGAAAATTTTTAAATGAATAGGGCAATCCAATGACCTGTCAAAAAGGAATTCAAAATGGAGGCCAATGCCTTTTTATTTAAAAAAATGTCGTTTTATTGCGAATTTTGATTTGTATAAAGTCTGTAGAGTGTTGATTTTTTGGAAAATGCATACGTTATGTATTGTTGTGGGAGCCGTTCTAATCGCGAGAAAGTCTAGTTTCATGCCGTTCCTGCAGAGACAAAACACAGGTTTTTACCGGAGGAAAATTAATTATCTTTGTTTTTGAGCAATTTCACTTTGAAGTTTTGGTTGAAATTTAAGCAAAATTACAACTTTGAGGCTTAATTTCTCTAAGTCTATCGCAGCAGCTTTATTCATATTTGGAGGATTTATAGAGAATTTAATCCTCTTTCAGAATATCTATAATACAAGTCGATTCGTTGAAAATTACGAAAACTGTGAGCAAATGTTTAAGAGCATGTCAGAATATCAAAACTGTTCTAAGACTAAAAAGGATGTTTTTTTTTTGCAATTTTTCAAATATGCTTTTTGAAAAAATGTTAGACTTGTTTTATACTAATTTTGAATTCATATTTCCATTGGAAAAGTCAAAAATTGAAAAACGTTAAAAATAGAAAATTTCGTTTTTTTAAATACCTACTTACCCCTTTGATTTTTTTATTCAAATTCTTTAATGTGTAATATCTCAATATCCATAAGCGGTATCGTGCCAAATTTTTTTGAGATTGTAGCTCTTACTGAATGCTTTAATGTGGTATTTGAGAAATATTTGTATCACTAGTGGTTTTTGACCAATTCAACTTGAAGTTTTGGTTGAAATTTAAGCAAAATTACAACTTTGAGGCTTAATTTCTCTAAGTCTATCGCAGCAGCTTTATTCATATTTGGAGGATTTATAGAGAATTTAATCCTCTTTCAGAATATCTATAATACAAGTCGATTCGTTGAAAATTACGAAAACTGTGAGCAAATGTTTAAGAGCATGTCAGAATATCAAAACTGTTCTAAGACTAAAAAGGATATTTTTTCTTTGCAATTTTTCAAATCTGCTTTTTGAAAAAATGTTAGATTTGTTTTATACTAATTTTGACCTCCTCTCTTCAATGGAAAAGTCAAAAATTGAAAAAAGTGGAAAATGGAAAGTTTCGTTTTTTTAAATACCTACTTACCCCTTTGATTTTTTTATTCAAATTCTTTAATGTGTAATATCTCAATATCCATAACAGGTATCGTGCCAAATTTTTTTGAGATTGTAGCTCTTACTGAATGCTTTGATGTGGTATTTGAGAAATATTTGTATCACTAGTGGTTTTTGAGCAATTTCAACTTGAAGTTTTGGTTGAAATTTAAGCAAAATTACAACTTTGAGGCTTAATTTCTCTAAGCCTATCACAGCAGCGTTATTCATATTTGGAGGATTTATAGAGAATTTAATCCTCTTTCAGAATATCTTAATACAAGTCGATTCATTGAAAATTACGAAAACTGTGAGCAAATGTTTAAGAGCATGTCAGGACATTAAAACTGTTCTAAGACTAAAAAGGATGTTTTTTTGCAATTTTTCAAATATGCTTTTTTTTGAAGAAATGTTAGATTTGTTTTATACTAATTTTGACCTCCTCTCTTCAATGGAAAAGTTAAAAATTGAAAAAAGTGGAAAATGGAAAATTTCGTTTTTTTAAATACCTACTTACCCCTTTGATTTTTTTATTCAAATTCTTTAATGTGTAATATCTCAATATCCATAAGAGGTATCGTGCCAAATTTTTTTGAGATTGTAGGTCTTACTGAATGCTTTGATATGGTATTTGAGAAATATTTATATCACTAGTGGTTTTTGAGCAATTTCAACTTGAAGTTTTGGTTGAAATTTAAGCAAAATTACAACTTTGAGGCTTAATTTCTCTAAGCCTATCGCCGCAGCTTTATTCATATTTGGAGGATTTATAGAGAATTTAATCCTCTTTCAGAATATCTATAATACAAGTCGATTCATTGAAAATTACGGAAACTGTGAGCAAATGTTTAAGAGCATGTCAGGACATCAAAACTGTTCTAAGACTAAAAAGGATGTTTTTTTGCAATTTTTCAAATATGCTTTTTTTTGAAGAAATGTTAGATTTGTTTTATACTAATTTTGACCTCTCTTCAATGGAAAAGTCAAAAATTGAAAAACGTTAAAAATAGAAAATTTCGTTTTTTTAAATACCTACTACCCCTTTGATTTTTTTATTCAAATTCTTTAATGTGTAATATCTCAATATCCATAAGAGGTATCGTGCCAAATTTTTCTGAGATTGTAGCTCTTACTGAATGTTTTGATGTGGTATTTGAGAAATATTTGTACCACTAGTGGTTTTTGAGCAATTTCAACTTGAAGTTTTGGTTGAAATTTAAGCAAAATTACAACTTTGAGGCTTAATTTCTCTAAGCCTATCGCAGCAGCTTTATTCATATTTGGAGGATTTATAGAGAATTTAATCCTCTTTCAGAATATCTATAATACAAGTCGATTCATTGAAAATTACGAAAACTGTGAGCAAATGTTTAAGAGCATGTCAGGACATCAAAACTGTTCTAAGACTAAAAAGGATGTTTTTCTGCAATTTTTCAAATCTGCTTTTTGAAAAAATGTTAGACTTGTTTTATACTAATTTTGAATTCATATTTCCATTGGAAAAGTCAAAAATTGAAAAACGTTAAAAATAGAAAATTTCGTTTTTTTAAATACCTACTTACCCCTTTGATTTTTTTATTCAAATTCTTTAATGTGTAATATCTCAATATCCATAAGAGGTATCGTGCCAAATTTTTTTGGAATTGTAGCTCTTACTGAATGCTTTGATGTGGTATTTGAGAAATATTTGCACCACTAGTGGTTTTTGAGCAATTTCAACTTGAAGCTTTGGTTGAAATTTAAGCAAAATTACAACTTTGAGGCTTAATTTCTCTACGCCTATCGTAGCAGTTTCATTCATATTTGGAGGATTTATAGAGAATTTAATCCTCTTTCAGAATATCTATAATACAAGTCGATTTATTGAAAATTACGAAAACTGTAAGCAAATGTTTAAGAGCATGTCAGAACATCAAAACTGTTCTAAGACTAAAAAGAATGTTTTTTTGCAATTTTTCAAATATGCTTTTTTTTGAAGAAATGTTAGATTTGTTTTATACTAATTTTGACCTCCTCTCTTCAATGGAAAAGTTAAAAATTGAAAAAAGTGGAAAATGGAAAATTTCGTTTTTTTAAATACCTACTTACCCCTTTGATTTTTTTATTCAAATTCTTTAATGTGTAATATCTCAATATCCATAACAGGTATCGTGCCAAATTTTTTTGAGATTGTAGCTCTTACTGAATGCTTTGATGTCGTATTTGAGAAATATTTGTATCACTAGTGGTTTTTGAGCAATTTCAACTTGAAGTTTTGGTTGAAATTTAAGCAAAATTACAACTTTGAGGCTTAATTTCTCTAAGCCTATCACAGCAGCGTTATTCATATTTGGAGGATTTATAGAGAATTTAATCCTCTTTCAGAATATCTATAATACAAGTCGATTCGTTGAAAATTACGAAAACTGTGAGCAAATGTTTAAGAGCATGACAGAATATCAAAACTGTTCTAAGACTAAAAAGGATGTTTTTTTTTTGCAATTTTTCAAATATGCTTTTTGAAGAAATGTTAGACTTGTTTTATACTAATTTTGAATTCATATTTCCATTGGAAAAGTCAAAAATTGAAAAACGTGAAAAATAGAAAATTTCGATTTTTTAAATACATACTTACCCCTATGATTTTTTTATTCAAATTCTTTAATGTGTAATATCTCAATATCCATAAGAGGTATCGTGCCAAATTTTTTTGAGATTGTAGCTCTTACTGAATGCTTTGATGTGGTATTTGAGAAATATTTGTATGACTAGTGGTTTTTGAGCAATTTCAACTTGAAGTTTTGGTTGAAATTTAAGCAAAATTACAACTTTGAGGCTTAATTTCTCTAAGCCTATCGCAGCAGCTTTATTTATATTTGGAGGATTTATAGAAAATTTAATCCTCTTTCAGGATATCTATAATACAAGTCGACTCATTGAAAATTACGAAAACTGTGAGCAAATGTTTAAGAGCATGTCAGGACATTAAAACTGTTCTAAGACTAGAAAGGATGTTTTTTTGCAATTTTTCAAATATGCTTCTTGAAAAAATGTTTAGACTTGTTTTATACTAATTTTGAATTCATATTTCCATTGGAAAAGTCAAAAATTGAAAAACGTTAAAAATAGAAAATTTCGTTTTTTTAAATATCTACCTACTTACCCCTTTGATTTTTTTATTCAAATTCTTTAATGTGTAATATCTCAATATCTATAAGAGGTATCGTGCCAAATTTTTTTGGGATTGTAGCTCTTACTGAATGCTTTGATGTGGTATTTGAGAAATATTTGTATCACTAGTGGTTTTTGAGCAATTTCAACTTGAAGTTTTGGTTGAAATTTAAGCAAAATTACAACTTTGAGGCTTAATTTCTCTAAGCCTATCACAGCAGCGTTATTCATATTTGGAGGATTTATAGAGAATTTAATCCTCTTTCAGAATATCTATAATAGAAGTCGATTCATTGAAAATTACGAAAACTGTGACCAAATGTTTAAGAGCATGTCAGGACATTAAAACTGTTCTAAGACTGGAAAGGATGTTTTTTTGCAATTTTTCAAATATGCTTCTTGAAAAAATGTTAAATTCATATTTCCATTGGAAAAGTCAAAAATTGAAAAACGTGAAAAATAGAAAATTTCGTTTTTTTAAATACCTACTTACCCCTTTGATTCAGCGGCGGATTTAGGATTCCTTCTAGGGGGGGGCGATCCATCAGGGCCTCAGGCTCAGAT